TGGTCCCAGCTACTTGGGAGGCAGAGGCAGGAGACTCGCTTGAGCCCAGGAGTTGGAGGTTGCTGTGAGCAGTGAAGCCATGGCACTCTACCCAGGGGGACAGCTTGAGGCTCTGTCTCAAAAAAAAAGAAAGAGTATAAGGGAGTTTTTCTGTTCCTGGCTGTGGAGATGGTGGGATGGAGGGAAACAGGTGACAAGGAATACTGGTGGCTTCTAGGTGCTGAATGGCTCCCAGCTGACACTAGCAAGGAAATCCGGACCTCTGACCTATAATGAAAAATAATTGAATTCTGCCACAGTCATGTGAGCCTAGAAGAGGACCCCAAACCTCCTAATGAAATGAGAGCACAGCCTGGCTAACACCCTTATTTCAGTATTGTGAGAACCTGAGTGGAACCCAAGCTACTGACCTGTAGAGCTGTGAAATACAGCTGGGTGTAGCGGCAGGCACCTGTAGTCCTAGCTACTGAGGAGGCTGACACAAGAGGATTGCTTAGGCCCAAGAGACTGAGGTTGCTGTGAGCTATGATGATGCCATAGCACTCTACCCAGGGTAACAGAGTGAGACTCTGTCTCAAAAAAATAAAAGTAGACCTAGGAAATAAATGAGTGGTTTAAGCTGCTATGTTTACGATAATTTGTTACACAGCAAGTGAAAGCTAATAGTGTATAATTCAAACATACACACAAAAAAAAGAGGACAAAGAAAAAATCTAAATAAATGCCCTGTTCATTCACATTATTATCAATAAAGACAACAGAAGGAAGATGAGGTTTCAATATTTTATTCAAGTTTTATTTTAAGTGATGTTAATTACAGCATTTGAAGGGGAGAATCTAATTCCACACAAAATGGAAGACTCTAAAATATACCCATTAAACTGCTAAAAAATAAATTGAGTGGTAAGAATACAACAGAAGTCCAATTTAGATTCTGAGTGTTGTCACCATGTGATCACAATCACACAGACTTCCCAGCTTATAGCTGGTGATCCTAGAAGCTATTTCATACTCTGGTGCAAGGGCAAAAAAACCACAACACGAGAAGGAATTAAGTCCTGAATTATTGGCTTCACCACATCCACCCTCTTCACCCCAAAATGGCACAAAAGAAACAGCTACCACACCCTGCAGACCTTTTGGTGTAAAAGAGGTGATAATGGACTGAGGTGGGAACAGTTCATGAATATCTGTCTATAAAAGTCCCTTTCTGGTAAGTCTGTACACACCATCAAGCAATGAGCCTCTCATCAATTAGGGTTATAAAACCAAGGTTCAATTCTCAGGAAGTCACAATTTCATTCATTTATTCAGTATGAATTTACAAAGTGCCTACATATAATCAGCTTCCACTTGTAGCCATTTCTAGATAAAAAAGAAACCTGGCATCTCTAAAGAAGCCACCAAGTTCCCCTCAAGTCTACAGCTGAGAAGACCTTTTTTGGAATCAGGTTTCTTCTGTACCTCTGAAAGGGTAACACCTTAAAGCTGAATCATCTTTAACCTGGAGGTCTA